ACGTGAGAAAAACTGATAAGTAGTCCTGAATAAAAAGCTTTGGTCCAAATTTCTATACTTCGACAAATTGTGAGATTATTCAATTGCATGTATTGGTGGAGCATAAGCAGAACTAAAAGATTTTTTATTTTCCATTGTCAGCGCTTTCAATACCGCAATAGCTTTGAAAAATTTTCTTTCCCTAATCGAGGCTTCTCGCAAAAAAAGTAATTCGGCTTTAAAGTTCCACGCAGTTTTTTAGACCGTTTCGTTTCCTTGTCACTATTTGTTCCTATTTTCGCTCGGTATGTGAACGATCTCCTGCAGTTCATCCTACTTTATTTCCTTTGAAGTGAAAAGAGTTGATAGTGCCAAGTAAAATCAAAACGAGATTCAGGAAAATATCAACGGTATTGCTAAAGTGAAGTGACTATCACTTTAAGCTAGCACTTTGCGTCTACTTTGACTAGATTATAGAAGAGGTAGAGGAAATATATAGAAGTAAAAAGATAGAAACAACTTCGGAATTTGACTTCTACATCTAAAAGAGAATGTAGGAATAAAGATGAGTCGTGTATGATTTCTGCCACACGGGAAACGGATGGAGCCGAAAAGGGAAAAAGAATGAATTCAATACTATCATCATAATTTGAACAGATGGGAAGTGCTCATCATTAAAACCTTCTGCATTGTTAACATTCACTGGTGATAAAAACGCTTTGTTAGATGTTTCTATGTAATTTGGAAACTGGTTTAGAAACAGTCGCCGAACTTGCTATGCGAAGAAATAGTTTTATGATTGACAGAGTCTAGAACAACAAAATAGACTAGTCATGTATAAAATTATTAGTAAATTCTGACTTTTTAAAACACATGGTTCTCATTCTCGGTCAGAGTGCGCTAAGAAAACTTTTATTATATTTTCGTGAAAAATTGAGATTTTTGAGAATAACTTTCATAGATGTCTGGAATAAAAAGGCCAAGAAATACGTGGATTGGGAATTTCGCAACAGAATTCTGAAAATAATCAGTCAGTTTGAAATGCTATGGAGCAAAAGCATACGAAACCGTCGAACGAATGCCTGAGCGATTTGTGGACGTCCTGGTTTACAAAAACGGACTGCGCTCGGTCAACAATGTGACAAAACGTTTCGCTAGAGCTAGCGTAGCTGACCACGTCATTCGTATGGCTCCCTGATGACTAGCTTTGTGATTTATATCACTACTGGGACAAGCGCAAGGGGTCATAATCTTTGTCTACATCTGTGTCATCTGTAAAGAAGGTAGAATTCAGAAAAACAAAATTACTCACAAAACAAGTGTTAGAAAGTTTTCAGATTTCTAAAGAGGAAAGCTCGTGTTGGTTTTGATAGAATGAAGCTACATTCAGACATAACATCAGCTTTATTAGAGAAAGGCATCGCCGATCGGCTACACGCTCGAGGACAGCTGGCACAAGCTTGTAATGTGTGAAGCTGCGCGATTTGTTACTGTCCGAAAGAGTCCACTTTCGGCGATATTATGTCCTCTATCCATCAAATGTATGGTTCTTGAAATTACATGAAAGTGCCCCAAAAAAGCAATGCTACCCATGACGATGCGCTGAGTTGTGTATACTCTATTCCGCTACCAGGGATACTTGGTCTTCCTAGTCCTCATACCAGGGCGTTCCCAGGATTTCCGACAGGCGGCTGGGGCGCGACATAAATTTTTTCTGAGTGAAGGGTGGCATTAGTCACGCATTCCGAAAATTTTTTAGGTGCTTGCCAAAATTTCTGCGGGCCCATGACCCAGCTACGCCCCCAAAAAATTTTTTTACAAGGCTAATTTGTTTTGAAAAATTAAAAAAAAATTTTTTTTTATTATTTACAAATACAGTGCTGGACATAATTATAGAGGCACTCTAGAAATCGTCGTAATTTTCGCTCTTGTCACTGAATCTGTCTGAAACTTTGCTATATGGTGCGCATGTAAGCCTACCATAACTCCTCAGAACGGCTTCCAATCCCGTTGATTTCGAACGGAGAAAAATGGAAAAATTCGAAGAAGCCTGTTTTGCAAGCTGGACATAATTATAAAGACACCTGGCCTTTTTACACATTATCGCATTCCTTGACTCCCAAATTTTTTTGTAGAGTTAGTTAGTTTTGTAGAGTCATCCCAGAATATGGAACTTTTCAGCACCTAGGACCTGTCATGCTACTCAAGGAAAGATGATCCTTGCATTTTTCGTTTCCAAAGGCATCCGAAGACAAACTGCTTCAATAAACAACTGGTTTGAAGAGTTTTCAAGCCCTCGTTCATTTCAAATGATAATCATGGGATCTACTGACCCTTTTGGATAGATGAGGTGAAGAGCGCTTTCGTAAACTCTGCGTAATCGCTGATTTTGACGGACAGACTCCAAACTCACCATAGGGTTGTCGTGCTTTTGCACCATAAAACTCGATTGAACAAGGGCTTGAAAACTCTTCAAACCAGTTGTTTATTGAAGCAGTTTGTCTTTTGATGCCTTTGCAAACGAAAGATGCAAGCATCATCTTTCCTTGAGTAGCATGACAGGTTCTAGGTGCTGCAAGAGTTTCATATTCTAGGATTTAACTCTAAAAAAAATTTGGGAGTCAAGGAATGCGATAATGTTTAAAAAGGCCAGGTGTCTTTATAATTATGTCCAGCTTGCAAAACAGGCTTTTTCGAATTTTTCCATTTTTCTCCGTTCGAAATCAACGGGATCGGAAGCCGTTTTGAGGAGTTATGGTGGGCTTACGTGCGCATTATGCAGCAAAGTTTCAGACAGATTCACTGACAAAAACGAAAATTACGACGATTTCTAGAGTGTCTCTATGATTATGTCCAGCACTGTATAAACAAGTCAACCAAGTGCATGACTATTTTTGTCAAGTTTTGGTGTTCGAGCATTGATGAAACGGCCACAAAAGTAATAGCAGTCTCTTTTATGGATCAGAAAACTAATAAGACTGGCGATACTTTAGACGCTGTTAAAGGCACCGTCCATCCAGATTCTCGACTTCCATGTTTTGGTCGTTCCGGGGCCTTCTCATTACCTGATTCCGAATATGAAGTAGGGAATCCGCGAAAATCCCGGCAACCCCTGTTTGGAGAACCCGCAGGCTGGTTCTCCGGAACGATGATTGCATGGGCGCGCACGGATGGGCGGGCATTACAGCAGGGGCGGTGCCGACTTGAGGTTCTCATGCCTCTTCGCTATTCTAAAGCGAATTTCTGCTTCCGAAGCGATATTTTGCGCAGCGACTTGGGCATTGGTTTGAGAGGGCCTCCTACCAATGTAAGCTGCCAAAAGTTGAAGACTTCTAAACTGGGGTGGACGATGCCTCTAAGCATTCTCTGTTTTACACGAAACAAACAAACAGCCATTGTTTATTGAGACCAATATCAACTGTCAGTGTTATGACTGTCTACGCTGCACCAAAATCAACATTGTCATGCAGGTCGTTTCATCTACAGCTTCCCCTAGATGAAATGTTATCGAGCAGCTACTACCCAACGCGCTTTGCTGCGATGCGGTTCGCGTTTTCTGGAGTTTCGTTTTGAACCGTTTCTTCATTTATATGTGGTTCGTGTCTTCCATATATCTGCTGGCAGAGGGAAATATTAGGTTGCTAACAAAGTTTTGAAACTCTTTCCATGATTTTCTCTCAATATGATACATTCGAACTATGGCAATGTTTTTGATTGCATGTGACCTACTGAGCACATCAGTGCTTTTCGGTCCTCAGAACTCAACTTACTCGTTCAAGCTCGTCTACCTGACGATGAAGATGAGGCTAGCGAGTACGCAAAGCTGGCTTAAATGCCCTTCACTGCTTTGATTGCAAAGGCTCAGCGAATCCTAACAGACTTTATCCGAGTTTGGGAAGAGTGCTTGAAATTTGGTGAAGCAGCTGTTTTCTAAAATAACTTTTTATGCATTTCGGAGCAAAAAATGTAGTATAAAATTCTTTTCAGAAAGCGGCGGCTCTCTACTGTAACACATGTTTGACATTTTGATCTTGTCTTTGTACAAAAAATCTTATTTTCAAAGAATGTAATAGTGCTTGAGAAAAGGAGGTGGCTCTATAGCTGTAAGCAGCCTTAGGAACACGTTTTTTCAAATCTTTCAATTTTTCTCCAGCGAAATCCAAGGAAATTGGGAGCCGTCTTGGTCAATGATATAGCGTTAGTTTACACGCAGAATAGCGGCTCTTCAAACAATTTCAACCAGAACAGGGCAAGCTACAGTGATTTTCTAGGGTGGCTCTATAGCTGTAAGCACTGCATTAGAATCTAATATTCTGCGTTCAGCTGCCTTATTCAACTTCCCGCAATAATCCTCCCCCTCACGGGATGTCATGACGTATAGCTCGGAGCCTGCTGCTGTGAGATGTGCTGACTATTGTGCACCAAGGTAGGCAAAGCGGCTATCCTTTACCATTGCCGCCGGATGCAATCAATGCGGAGCATCAAAGTAGTCGCACTTTGTCGGTAGAAGTTGCCACATATCGCGACACATGGCGACACATTGCGACATGTCGCGATGAACGAGAAGACGAGGTACTTTAGCCGACATGGAGACGTAGGGACATAGCTATCAAAACATCGATTTTTCATGAACCAAAGTTTCAAACTTGCGGTTCATCGCGATTTTCGTGACTTCGTATCATTTGTTGTTATCAGAAACGTGCTTAGCACTGTCTGGCAAAAAAGTCAGTGGACATTAACTTTGAAGAAAGAGAAATGATTTCAAAGAAAAGAAAGTCGGCCTGCGGGATCAACAGGGGATCATACAAAAAGCTGGAAAATGCTCCTTGTACAGCTCATCTGTTCAGTATGTCTATTGCGAAAGAATACTCAAGGAAAGGTAGACAACGTAAAATCAATATTTCGAGTTACAAAATATAACGCTTTCTTTTCAGCTGCGACCTTCTCCCCGACGGGGATTACAATTCATGCGGCCCTAAATATCGCCATTAATCTTACAACAGCTAATTCAACTAATGCGACCCATTTCAAAAATTTATTCATAAAAGATTTAGTAAGGGCACGGCTCCCGTCTTATTTCTACAATGCTAAGTGAAGAAGTTGAAACAAGAAACGATTAGAGAGATTTTCCTTAATTTAGATTTGCACGAATTCTATGTACGGATCCATCGACAATTGCCTGAAATCATTTCTCAGTTTAAAGAACCACAAGCATCAAGTGTCTTACCGTTTTCAGTGCCGAAGTTAATGGTGGACTTTGAGACAGTAGTTGCTTCTTGACTGAAAGATAAGCTTTTGAAAGACATGAGAACAAAGTTTTGCCTTTAAGCTAAAAGTACAACGTACAAACGATCTTCTTTGCTCTTCTCGATCGTTCCCTACCCCCGGACCTTGGTGATTTGGCCACATTCTTAGTACTTCTTCCTTTTTTGGGATGTGATCTCATTGGATCTGGCGTTTTCGAGTACTTAGCATTCTTGAATACATTTGGCACTCTAGTTATTGTGGAGGCAGAGGTTATGGATATTTTTGGTTTGCTTGTGTTGTTCGCTGTCACTTGCACTGGGTTAGCTACAGGCAGATACGTATTAGATACAACCACTGGCATTATCACTGTAGATTCTTTGCCATTTCCTGGTAGCGAAACAGACGTTGAAACTGCAGGCGTTGTCGCCATGGACACCTGCTTTGAAGTGGATAACGGGGTAACCGATGTGACCACTGGTAGGACTCTGGCCGGTTGTTCGCCATCTGAGTTGACTGAGATAAGCGTTGAAATCACTGGCTTAGTCTCTATCTTGAAATCCTCTGGAGTGTCCAGATCTGGCAAGGTCCGTCCTGTAGCGGTCCCGGCTTTTACATGTGCAAAGGTCAAAGAAGCAACAAGTGGCACAAAAATCCTCTTTTCGTCACTGGCAGGCATTGCTACAAATCCCGAAATCACTGGCATGGTCACCATCTCATGTTCTTGTGCATCCATCGATGGCATCAAGCCTGTAATCACTGGCATAGCGATCTGACTAGATTCGTCAAGACCAGATCCTGGTAGGGAAGTCATGGATGCGATCACCGGTGTCGTATGACTCGTCGGGTCTACTGAATTTGCAGACGTTGTGATACTAGTCGTAGTGTGCTCCGCTTCTGCAGTATTTAAAGATGTGCTCGATAGTCCTGGCACACTATATGACGGGATCTCTGACATAGTGGGTGTCAATGATGTCGAAAGTGTGGGTCTTGTCACGCTGACAGGAGCACGATTAGTGGAGCCTGATGCACTCATTGACGTCGGTGTTGCTCCTCTGCTAGCTTGAAAATTTCTGATGAGTTGCGCCTCTTCGAAAGACTTACATAAGGATTTGTCTGAAGTGCGACAATTGCTTTTCACAGTAAAGTTGTGAGCAGGGAATTACCAGATTGAGTATACAGGGAGCTAATAACGGTTGGCGGGCGATCTTCGCTTAAATTCTTGTTAAATTTTGCCCTGTAGCTCTCGAAAAGATCATCTATAAAAAAATGAATAATCGTAGGACTATGATCGCAAAATTATAATATATGCACTCTTGCGCAGACTTGCTTCCGTTGGCGTATTACTCATTTCTGACTCGTGAAAGTCGGATAATGGCAATGTGGAAATTTTTGCACTAAGAATCTCTGTCGAGCTGAGCGCAGTTGGATCGGTTGTGCGAGTGCTGACCTCCGATGACCAAGGATCTAGCCTGAAAAACTGATTTTTGACTGAACAAACGATTGTATGTGTAGACTTGCTTAATATGAGAACAGTATTTGCGTCGCCTACGCTCGCCAAACAAGCTTCTAGGAGCTGCTTCCAAAGGTGGGATGCCTGAAAAACAATATTGCGAGATTTTCGGACTTATTCAAGGCCCCTCTTTGTATGCGACCATGTATTCATCAATTATTTGAAGGGCAATGTGTGAAATTATAGGAAAACTATACTTTGTTAAGCTGGAGTGGTAGTAATATGGTTGAAACCATCGAATGATGTGATGGTCTAATCATGGTTACATCGTGGTGAACATGATCATCTTCTTAGGCCCCGGACAGACTTCACGCGATTTGATCGTCGCAACTCAATCGCCGACATTTCCATTCATTTTCATTTCACATTCAAAAATTTCGGGCTGGAAAAGTATCACAACCGAAATGCAAGCTGATCGGCGTGGAATGATGTTGTAACAGTTGTCTCGTTGCGATTCAGTCGAGACGATCAAATTGCGTGAAGTATGTCCGGGGCCTTACGGCCATTCAGTTCAACTGGTCATACAAAATCATGAAACAAGCAAGTAACTTTCGGAAAACCATGCTTGTTTCATGCTTGTTTCATTCTCAACCAAACTACGAAGTTTCCAGCTGGTCAACATCACTGTTTTGCTATCAAATAGAGCAATGAAAATAACACTTTATTTGGTGAGACGCAGACATAAAACCATCACATCGTTGTTAAGAATGAAAAAGTACCCCTGACCACTTTTTTGTTTGAAACAATGACGTGTTGGTTTTGCAAGTCAAGAAGAGTGAGGGAGATCATTCTGCAACTTACTATAAGAAAACTTACTTGTTTACAGCTTAGATAAAGTTATGGGAGGATGCAGGGCTGAAGACCGAACTGACTGAAATTTGGTAAAGTGCAATGAAGGCGGTCAAGCATGAGAATGATTGGAAGTTTGGTCCCCTTCAATGACATCGCTTTGCTAAAGCTGGAATCGAGTAAAAAATGTTTAGCTTCTTTGCCTCTGGTTGGTTACCTTGTGGTTTCATCGAGAAAATGATGTGAAGCTAGCGTTTACATCGTGTGATGAAAATTTAGTAAAGATGATAGTTCAGACCAAATTACTACCACTCCTGGTAATTTGTGAGTTGAGATAGCCCTTTTGAATTCATGTCTAAATTAGTTTCTGCATTGTTGACCTACTGTACTTTATACCGTTTAATACAGAAACTGAGGTAGCCAATAATCGCTTTTAGTGAGGTGCCGCTCATTTGCCTTCTCTCGTGGTTTTATTCATTTTTATCTCTTCAGTGCCTTAAAATCTTTGGCCTTTTTTCACTGTTGCCTGTTCTGCACATCCACGCCTAAAGGACCCTCCACAATGCGCCGGTTGCCGTTTGCAGCCGGTAGCCGCTTTGCGCCCGTTGCTGCTGTTGCAGCCATAGCGCACTATGTCAGATTTTGTCCGCCGGGCAAATAGAAACTTAACTGCACTAGCTTGCATAAAGATGTTAATGTAATGATGTCCAATTCAACTTTTGTTTTGACAATTGGTATGGTTGGTAAGCGATCTCATTGCGAAAATGTTTTTTCACTCCTTGAATTTACTCTACTATGCTGTTTGACAAAAAAGACATCGAAATTTCTTCGCATCGGAAGAAATCTTTCACTCAGCATAGTAAAGGAAAACCAGAAGCAAAAACAGTATGCAAAATCTCGTTCCACATCAACAAAATATCTTTGTTAGAATCAATATTTACCACCGAAATCTAGCCACTCTTTAACATTACAGAAAGAAGCTAACGAGTAGCAGATGTGTTTTTTGTAGTCAGCAAATCGGATAAGCTCTATGCTCAAATTCAAGAAAATAGCGACATTTGATCGCGCTAAAAAGATTTACAGTGAAGTTTCAAATGGAAAAAATTTAGTCAAACCACGCAAGGCTGTAGATTCGTTTGCACTTCTCTTCCGTCTACCAAAAGACTTGCTTGCGTGTCTTTGTAATTTGGAATCTCTGTAAAGAACGTTATGGGAACGTGATCAGCGCAGACCCTTAGTGCAGTTTCGTCAGATTATGAGGTCACAAACTCACAATTTCATGCATTTTCTCCCAAATTTGAGAATTATTTATTTTGGCGAATTCTGATTCCTATAAGTGTCATCAGCAGCAAAACTTTGCAAGAAATGTTGTCAGCACATTGAATGATCCATTTGAGCGGAAATTTGAAGATTTGCATCACACATGCAGTCAATTATGACTTTAGTATATGAAAATTCTCGGCGGCGTTTTTCGCCAACTTTGCCGAATTCGCCGACATCGCCGAAATCGCCGAGAATCTTCACATTTTACTGTCATAAGTGTAATTGCTTTAAAAACAAGACGGTCCACTACCAGGTATTATTATAGAAATATTCAAGAAGCTGATGCAGCTTACACAACTACATATGATGTAAACATTTAGAGATGGATAGACAACTTGAACGCCTATGTGCAGAGTCTAAGGTTAAGCTGCTTTCAAATGAGTTAGGATACCCTCTCGGCGGACGTCCATTTATTCGGTTCTGAGAACCGCATACATGAACATCCCTGCGGGGGAGGGGAGAGGGGCGTTTCAGTGATGAAGAAGTTGCAGCGGCGTTTACCCCGGTTCCTGTTTGATAAGAGACGCCGCTTTCCTTGCCTCAGGGATGTTTATGCACACGAAGCTAAGCCCCCCACAAGCCTCGATTTCTCCACAACTGTCTATAAACGCGCATCAACATAGTAATCATATTCGAACCTTCAAACATTGCGTTTGTTCTTGGTTGCATGTCGGTTGACGTCAATCTTGCATTATATTCGGAAAGTGTGTGCCTTGGTACCTTCAATCATAATATTTTTGCTGTGACACAAAGCGGTATACACAGACTTCTTCTACAAGAGATTTGTGTATTCCTTGCATTTGATTCGTTATGGTATCAATCAGCGACGATGCTGCACTGGAACGCGTTATGAATGGCATTGCATGCATCAGGCTTTGCTCGAGCAGGTGGAACGCTGTACATGCCTGAATTTGCGTAATTTTTGCTGACAATATGTAGTACAACAATACCTTTGCAGCTATGGTGTAGTCGGAGGTTTCGATATAAGGTTGTTCTGGCAGCAAGCGTTTGTAATCCAGAGCGGTAAGCTAAACTTGATTCATGCGTGCTGCTTGACGGGTTACAGGCTACCTTAGCCAGAATTCTCCTCGCATTGCGCATGTTTTCCTTTAATATTGTAGTCGTTTCATTATTTGCTTTCAATCGTTTCTCCAAAAAATTGAGAGTTTCATAGAGCAGTTCCAGGTCACACAATTTATCAATAATCTGAACAGCATCATCATAAGCAGAAAACAATTCTAAAATTCTCTAACGATTCTCCATAAATGACAGAAAGGAAGACCGCCAAGAATGGCAATTGCCACCGGCACGACAAAGAAGGGGTGATGCATAAGCCGGCATACTTTCAAGTATTTGAGCGTTCGACGTATTAGATAGAGATCCTTATGAGAAAAATAAGCTTTTCGAAATGAAATTGGTTGAGTAGATCAGTATGAATCCAGTCTAACTATAATGAGTATCATTCTGATAAACGGAATGACCTTTATGGTATTTAAAAAGAGATTCTATCACTCCAATCAAAAAACGGACTCACAGGCTTCAAAAAAAGTTTAATGCGGCGGCGATATTGTCTATCCAATCGCCGCTCGTCTTTGATGCGTTTCTCCAGGTCGTCCAACATTTGATGAAACTGCAATTTTCTTAGTAGTAAAGTACCAAAAAATAGATTCACTGCGATACCCAATCGTTTGCTCTTCGCACCATTCGATCTGCTGACTCCATAGTGGCATGCCCATCCATAGTAATACACAACAGGTTAGCTTTCAATTGAATCAACTGTCGAATGAGTTGACTGATATCACCTGCTTTAGCACTTTGTGAAAGCCCTTGTACTCTCCAACTGTTGAGCGCGTTCTAAGAAATCTCAACAATACTGAAATTTTTCTTTGTGAACGCACAATGCTCGCGTCTACTTCCTTAGCTTTTGCTTCTTTTGGATCCAAAAACATTTTCTCTATCCCAGCTTTTGAAGTACCTCCACTAGCATAAGCATGGAAAAAGCCCTAAATTGGTGAACTTCTTCGTTTACACTCTAACACACAGTGTCACTAACATTTTTCATCTCTCCAAGAGAATAATTATCGCTATCTTTTGGAGCGTAGCGCCGGGCTATTGTAAAACTGAATGCTTGATCTGCGTTCCTCTAAACCATTATGGATAATACTTACTCTAGATTATTCACGCCCATATACTTCATTAATTCTTCTTCGTGCTTTTTTGTTGTTATAACTCCCGTTAAGTCATGGAGCGGGAAAGTCATGCGCTGAAAAAGTTAGAGAGTCTCAGTTTTTTCCATTACTACTATCATTAATCTCACGCTGTCTTCAAGTCCTGTTGTGCTGGTCTCAGCTTCGCTGTACGGTGGCAGAGGGCTTTGAGTGCACACTCGATAACTTGTTGCAACGGGATTGGGTCCGGTCATCAGTGCATGTTCAAGGATCTGAAAATCCTGATTTTCATGAATATATTTTACAAAGTCAGTCTACAGTAACCACTCCCAAACTAGTAGTATTCGCAAATGTATGCTTATCGGCGTTCATAACCAAGCATTTCTGCAAGGAGTGCAACTGTTTTATCATCACTTTTACGGTCGGGATCGAAGTTGACTAGCAAAGTCAAGCCGTATCACAGTTCTCACTTATGTGACACGCACTACAGCCATTGGGCATTGCAAAAAGGTTCTACTCTCTTGGGGTAATCCAGTACAATCTCCTGCTATGGGAGAAATTTGAGAAAAAGAACAAGGGGAAAGAATGCGTCAAAAAGGAATAATGTTGGTCATATTAGGAACAGCTGCGCCCAACATTTATTTCTTCTGCTACTTGTTCTCTGAGCTCTCCAGTAATCAACAACCATGACACTTGTGGTTGTTCGGCTCCGAAAAAAATCCTTCTTTGGTATCTATGAAGACATTGAAGCGCGGCTGGAGCATTCTAATAACAAGGATTTCCATTCGATTTTTCGAAAGAGATAAGCTTTCTCGTCAGACTTTATTATCACTGGTCGAAAGCATGGAGATCGGCGATTTGGTGCAAACATTTCACTTTGAAAACGTACATATCTTATCACAATTCTCCTTGAAGGAGCATAACGAGGCCTTGTTTTGTAGTACATAAAATGACTATAACTACACAAAGACCCAGCTTCTCGTCATTGTAAAGATGGAGCATAAAGTAATCAGGAACACATCATATTGCTGGCCTGACAAAATCTCTTACTCTTTGCTTAATGTTAGCAGAGCTGTTAAAGGGTGTCGGCCATTGTTGATGTCTAATAATCTAACTATTTGAGTGGTGTTCCTATTTACGTACTATGTCATTTACGCCTCTCAACTTTTAGAGTCAGAAACAGCCGAGGGGTAGAAGAACGAACATCTCAATTGAACACCGCTTCCGCGGGCTGCTGGTCCTTTCGTCCTACTGCTGTGCACCGTGTTAGGACCAGTTGTCCGCGGAGGCGGTGCCTAATTTAGGTGTTCGTTCCTCTACTCCTCGGCTGTTTCCGACTCTAAACGTTGAAAGGCGTGAATGATCATACAGTCTGCCCCAATCTCAACCAGGCCAAAATTGGCATGACGGGAGTCCGCGTCGCTAGGGTTTCGTGATCACGCCCACGTCCTGCTTCTCTGCTCTCTCTTCCGTCCTTTTGCTCTCTCCCACCGCACGCATATGCAGCGCAGACCGCTAGCGCTGCGAGCGCGCAAATTTACGCCGACGGTTCGGCCTGTTCCAGTTGGAGCAGGCTGTAGTATGTCATTAGGAACACCATTCAAATGATTACATTACTACACATCAACAGGGTAGAGGAAGGAACATTTCAATTAGGCTCCGTCTCCGCGGACTACTGGTCCTAACACGATGCACAATGGGACGAAAGGACCAGCAGCCCGCGGAGGCGGTGCCTAATTGAGGTGTTCGTTCACCTACACACAGCCGAGGCCATGCGATATAGTTTCGAGGCGAAAATATTAGGATTTCATATAACAGTTTAATTGCACTACTACAGTGCTGGCCAAAACTATAGATCCACTATAAAAAACTGCCGTAGTTCATCTGCTTTTCAACGAATTGATCTGAAATTTGGTACAGCTGTGTGTTCAACAGGCTTCCATCAGTGGCCGGAGCGGATCCCGCTTTCGTTAGATTATTCAGGAGAAAAATCAAAAATTTCGAAAAAAGCAGGCCCGAAGGTTGGCCAAAACTATAGATCCACCTAAAATTTTTGTCCGCTAAAGTAATTCTCGACTTCCAAAGTCTTTTGTGCATATACGTGGTCGAAAGTAAAAGCAGTGGCTTTAGTCCAGCTGCGACATACTTTAATAAGAAACGCTTATCTGCTCTTTTTACTTAAAAAAATACTTTCACGCGTATTTTGTTCCCAAGAATGTGTTTTTATGGCTAATTTCGCAGTTTCTTGACTGGTTTGGAAGCGATAGGTCTCCATCTATCTTATAGATGCTCAGCAGTGTGAGCAGTAAAAAAAAATTCGAGTTTTCGTATTCAGAGCGCACCCGACATAGACTTAGCCGCGGGCCTTCGCTCGAATTTTTCCCTTCAAACTCTTTCTGGATTGTTGTCATGAGCGTGAACTGGAGTAATGACATTGTTGGTATGTATTAGAGTGCGTATGCAGTGGTTGCAGGTCTATGCAGATCCCATTATGCATGCTAACTGAGGACTTCATCCTGCAAAAAAGTGATTTGCAACAAGCCACAAAGTTATTTCTGGTTCTGATCATAATGCTTATGTGAGTCACAAGACAACATACAGTAGAGGGTGTATTCACTAATTAGCAGCTAAACAATGGCAAAACTCAAGGAAGGTACCATTTAGTAAGTACTTTGAAATTGCCGAACACACCGCAAGACTTATGCTTTGAAAAGGTGTTGAAATGCGACTTCGCGAACAATCGTGACTATGACTTGCAAACTTCTTTTGTGTAAATAATGCTAAATAATGTTTCTACATCATTTTGAGCTTGCAAAAATAGCGTACACCAATTTTGAAGGCAAAAATTCGAGCGCAGGCCCGCGGCTAAGTCTATGTCGGGTGCGCTTTGAATACGAAAACTCGAATTTTTTTTTACTGCTCACACTGCTGAGCATCTATAAGATGGATGGAGACCTATCGGTTCCAAACCAGTCAAGAAACTGCGAAATTAGCCATAAGAACACATTCTCGGGAACAAAAACGCGTGAAAGTATTTTTTAAGTAAAAAGAGCAGATAAGCGTTTCTTATTAAAGTATGTCGCAGCTGGACTAAAGCCACTGCTTTGACTTTCGACTATGTATATGCACAAAAGACTTTGGAAGTCGAGAATTACTTTAGCGGACAAAAATTTTAGGTGGATCTATAGTTTTGGCCAACCTTCGAGCCTGCTTTTTTCGAAATTTTTGATTTTTCTCCTGAATAATCTAACGAAAGCGGGATCCGCTCCGGTCACTGATGAAAGCCTGTTGAACACACAGCTGTACCAAATTTCAGATCAATTCGTTAAAAAGCAGATGAACTACGGCAGTTTTTTATAGTGGATCTATAGTTTTGGCCAGCACTGTAGCTATTCCACTGAGTAATTACTTATAAATCAGCGGACCAATCTTGTCAAATGTAACCGTAAATGTAAAAAATTTTGAAAATGGAGGCCCTTGGTCGTAACGACAAATTGATGTAACCTTTTTATCATGCGAAAATCAACGCTTGTTTATCGTCGTCTCCCCGCGATAGATGGGGCATGTCGTCTGCGAAGTCCGTAGAAGTGCGTACTTCGTACGGTATTAGCATGGCGTGGCATATATACATGCCACGTCTAACTACTTGTTAAATCTTCATCATACCGTGCTGGCCAAAATTATAGGTCCACTCTAAAAAATGCCATAACTCGCTCTGTTGTGAATAAAATTTTCCAAAATTTGGTAGAGACGTGTGTTTACCAGCCTACTATCAGTCTGCAAAACGGTTCTCGTTTTCGTTTGATTATTCAAGAGAAAATTAGAAATCTTGAAAAGAGCAGGCTCGAAGGCTGGCCAAAATTATAGGTCCACCTGGAGTTTTTACTGATTAAAGCACTTCTTAGCTCCCGAATTTTTTTAGGTAGGCACACATCCAAAAACGTTAAACAGCTGCGTTGGTCAAGCTGTGTCATACCTCCAAAAAGAACTGATTATCTGCTTTTTTGCCTTGAAGATGCGCTCACATGTATTTCGCTCCACAAACCTGCGTTGAGTAAGAAATTCTGCAGTTTCTCAGCTGGATCGGAAGGGACGGGTTTCATCTATCTTTTGGATGCTTTTTGACGTGAGCATTGAGGAAAAAATCCGACTTTTTGCTGCTGAAGCAAATCTGACAGTGACAGTACTGCAATCCTGAGCTCAAATTTCTGCCTTCAAACTTCTTTTACAATGTTCTCAGAAGCAATGAGTAAAGTATAGGCATTGTTTCTATGAAGATGAGTCTGTATACCATAGTTACAACTTTCTAGAGATCCTAGCATTCGAGTATAATTACTGAAATCACTCTGCAGAAACTGATTACGACAAGCACCAAAGCTACTTGTGGCTCCGACCAAAATTTTCAGAAGAATCATGTGCTAACATACACTACAAGCTGTATCCACTATCTAGTAAATAATTACTGTCAAAAATCTAAGTGAGGTAGCACTTGGAAAGCTATTTTGGATCGCGTAACATCATTATTACGTTGCACACACAACTCATGTTTCGAAAAAGAAGCAAGGCAGCTTTATGAACACTTGCGAGTATGGCGAACAGCTTTAATTTTGTATAAAGAATGCTTCCACAATATCCTGAGGTTATAATGACAATGCATAAAGGGGTTCAGGGCAGAAACTGAGGCTTACTCTGCCGATTAAGCCGATGTCAGATTTGCTTCAGCAGCAAAAAGTCAGATTTTTTCCTCAATGCTCACGTCAAAAAGCATCCAGAAGATAGATGAAACCGCGTCCCTTCCGATCCAGCTGAGAAACTGCAGATTTTCTTACTCAACGCAGGTTTGTGGAGCGAAATACATGTGAGTGCATCTTCAAGGCAAAAAAGCAGATAATCAGTTCTTTTTGGAGGTATGACACAGCTTGACCAACGCAGCTGTTTAACGTTTTTGGATGTGTGCCTACCTAAAGAAATTCGGGAGCTAAGAAGTGCTTTAATCAGTAAAAACTCCAGGTGGACCTATAATTTTGGCCAGCCTTCAGGCCTGCTTTTTTCAAAATTTCTAATTTTCTCTTGAATAATCAAACGAAAACGAGAACCGTTTTGAAGACTGATAGTAGGCTGGTAAACACACGTCTCTACCAAATTTTGAAAAATTTCATTCACAACGGAGTGAGTTACGGCATTTTTTAGAGTGGACCTATAATTTTGGCCAGCACTGTATAACATTAGTTTTCGTACTCTCTAACTGCCAAAAACTGCCACGCGCATACGTTGGCAACGCTGGCAAAGCCACGCCGGCTAGCACCGTACGAAACACGCACATCTACGGACTTTGCAAACGACACGCACCATCTATCGCGGGGAGACAATGATAATTTCGAGCTGGATAGATAAAGCTGCGACGCTGGTAGACATCTTTCGAAAGGTTAATACAAGGATGACCTTACTGTGAGAAAAGCGAAAATTTTTGCCGGGTGCAATTTCTCGGGCTTATAAACAGTTCAAAATGGTTGTGAATTCAGACCATAGCCTGAGAGATGAACGAAATGTGCAAACATTAGGTGTTTTGCGAAAGTATTTCACGAGTTATTATTTGGTACTGCTTTTCATTTCTTCGTATCTTCTCATACGTCCAGGTTTATATGATGCTTAGGGATGAATGTATATGATACTTAGGGATAATTGAAGGGCAGATAATTAGCCGTCGCTGTTGCTTCTCTTTTGTCTGTCTGCCTTTACCTCCCGCGCCCCAAGTTCTGCATGGAATGACAACTCTCAATAGTCCTTCATTTATTCACGGGCAAACCCTGTCATCTTGGAAGTTTCGATCACACAAGAGCTAATGCATTTCTGCTGTAATGTTTCGTCTTCGGAAAATGCAGATGAAAGATCACTAGCGACTTCGCAAGAATCGAAAACGTAAATAGTTGAGGAAAATGACGTTGAACGCAGGTTTTTTTTGTTGTACAATTTGCCTCCTCGATGGAAAAAATTTCACTGTTTTATGTTAACGCGTAAGACGAAGTCATTGCCTGGCATCAACTGACACGGGGCAAGCTGGATATCGTTTTTGGGGCAAAAAGCGAAGGAGGTTTCGTTTTTGTGGGCGAAGATATACGCAAAATTGGCGACGGCAACCTTGTTTTTTGATCGACGTTTCGGTTTCGGGGGATTTTTAGGATTTTAGGGGGATATCGTTGAGGATCAAAGGGGACTTCGTAAAAATTCCCAAAAGTCAAGGGGGCTTCGTTTTGAAAATTTCCTGGTGCCCTAACTTTCTAGTCTGATTATTTGCAATTGTCAACTGAAAGTCAAGCTCAAGCAACCACCACCCCCGACGTTATGTCCGTAGAACACATGTACTTCTAATTATCTAAAGCTGATTAATACAATAAGCGCTTACCTCGCTGCTTTTTGGAGTAGTATTCCTATTGGAATCCATAGCCACATTCCACCCTTTCGTCAGTTTCAAGCTCCTATTTAGTGTTTTGATCAGTACTCACTTCTGCACCAGACCTCAACGCTTACGTCAACTCGTCCAAGGATAGCTGACTTTTACTTTGATTCTTGGGCTGTGATTTAGTGGAAGCACTTCTGCTAATTAAATCATGTTGAAAATACAACAATTTTGCCAGAAGAACTTCAAAGTGATTCTCACTTCATTATCGAATCCCAATCAAGATCCTCAGCTTTTCTTGTCCATAGCTCTGACAACTCCGACTGCAAAATTGAATGATTTGGATAGTAAGTATTAGCGCTTCACTTCTTCTTAACACATTCAAAACAATACGACCCACCGGTGGATCGCACGCGTTCTGCCATTTCGGGCAATACGACCCATGGCTGTGCCGTAAGTTCGATAACGCGAAAAAGGCTCTAACCCAAAACGTCAGTAATCAAAAAATCGGCCTTGTCGTGAATGTGTTAACTACGCGTAAAATTGCAGTTTTTGCTCGCCGACAGCGGCGGAAACAGTTCCGGAACATGGAATCAGTATGAACCCAGCCTAAAAGCACGGAACAACGTTGTTAGCAACAGAAAATAGTCGTTACATCACTATGCATGATAATCCTAGCACTTAATAAAATTCCGTGCCTCATGGACGTCCACTATAGCAACCTTCTGTGTCGATGTCATGCTGCGAATTATGGGTATAGTCTCCCATCTCACAATTGGCTACGGCGTCGGTCGAGCTTACAAGGGAACCGTGTCGAGTCGAAGTGGCCTTTCCAGATGAGACCCATACTGCCTTGAAGAGCATTAATCGGTGATTCCAAATCTGCCTTCCAAATCTGCCAAGCGACTCTGGACGCCGAGTTATGCTCGTTTTTCAGGTCGAAAAATTGTACGCAAAACTGAAGCAAAATCGCCCAAATTTGCTCAAATAGTCCAGTGTCAAGTATCAGAGCTGTTTATGCAATGGATACATTTATGCTAATACTTAACATTGCTTTATCTGAACGCTGGAAAGATTGTAACAATCAATTTTACCTAAGTTCTGCATTCATTTATCGTTCCGAAAAACGGTCATAACTCGGCGTTCAGAGGCGCTTGGCAGATTTAAAAGGTAAATTTGGACTCACCGCTTAATACCCTTCAAAGCCGTATGGGTCTTCATCTGGAAAGGCCACTTCACTCGACACGGTTCCCTTGTTAGTATATAAAGAAAATGCAATCATAACACATTCGACTTGTGGTTCACCGCAAATTTCATGACTCCAATACATCATTTGTTCTTAACTGCAACATGTTTAGCACCGTTGGGCTAAATGAACAGTCAACTTTGGAAGGTTTTGGTTCACTTCGAAGAAAGAGAAATGACTTTGAAGAAAAGATGGCAGACGCCGGAGATCACCAGGGGATCATACAAAATGCTGGAAAATGCGGCTTGTGCAGTTTCTCGCTCATGTTTAATATGTTTATAGTGAAAGATGGTAGAAATATTTATGAAAGGGTAGACAGCGTGAAATCCAGATGTTCGGAGCTTCAGGATATTAAGCTTTCTTTGTAAGCTGCGATTCCCTCCCCGGCGGGGATGTTAATGCATGCGGCCCTTAGTTAACAAAAGATGGATCCACTCTAGTAGGAACATTGATCTATTTATACAGAAGCTACAACAACGGCACATCTGTTGCAGTGCCTCCCACACTTAAAGGCAGTGTCCGGGCAAAATGGGGGTTCTGAGATTTCTCTGCCATGTGAAAGTAGCCCCCCTGAGCATAGTTGCGATAGGGGGAGTGATGGATCTTACCCCCTTCACTTTGAGGCCAAACTCCCGATGACCCCCTTCACCTGGGCGATTGGTAATGTACTCTGAGAATATGATAAAAATCGTTATTAAAAGGTTTTGCAGGCTAAGTACCTCAAACAACAAGTACACTCATAAATTTACTAAAGAAACGGTATTTATATTTATTTATATTATTTATTTATCCTCGTAGCATTTTGGAGAGCAGAAAGTGAGGACACAAAATCAGTTAATTTTTGAAGCACATAAAATCCCTCATATCTCGCGGCACAAAAGACCTAGAAAAAAATCGACGGTCCACTTCGATTCTCCATGATCTCAGCTTTCGAATGGTCTACAGCATGTTAGGGCTTCTTTGCTTCCCGGCTCTAAAAATCATTTGCTCCGGTAACCGATAAAAGCCAATACATTGGTGGAGCCGGAATGGAGCAAGCTAATAGTAAATATCTCCACCCCATTTTTGAAAACTGGTCTGTTTTTTCGCCCAGCAACCTATATACCATTCGAAAGCTCAGGAAAAGGGGATTCGATCTAGACCGTCGACTTCTTTCTAGCCCCCCTCTGCCGAGAGATACACCGCATTTTATTTGAAAACATGGTCATTTTCAACAGCAGATTTCTGCCAAATGAAGAAATAATCACTGCTGATTATCTATCCCTTTTAAAGAGCAAGTCTTCATTAACAAACGTAGACCGTCGACTTTCTCGTAGCATTCATTTGGAGAGCAGAAAGGAGGACACAAAATTAGTTAATTTTTTGAAGCACATAAAATCCCTCATATCTCGCGGCACAGAAGACCTAGAAAAAAGTCGACGGTCTAGGTCGATTCTCCGTGATCTCAGCTTTCGAATGATATACAGCATGTTAGGGCTTCTTTGCTTCCCGGCTCTAAAAATCATTTGCGGTGACCCGTAAAAGCCAACACATTGTATAGATCGTCCCGAAAGTTTTTGCGCACGATGTTCAAAAATTCATAACTTTTGATTTTTCCGACCGATTTGACTGCTTTCATTTTTATTTGAAAGGGTAAGTCATGCTCTTTATAATGACATCCCAGCTGCTTAGTAATGGTCATCTGTTACATAGACAGAAGCTCAAAACCAAAATCACTCAAAATTTGAATTTTTGTGTAGGGTCATAAAAAATCAGAAACTTGCAACAAAAATCGGAGCAGTCGGTATTGTAGGTTCTTTCACCAGCTCTTTCTAACAGTGCAAAGTTTGCTCCGATTGAGCGTCTCCATGAAAAGTTATGATTTCCGAGCAAGCAATACAAAAAGGCGAATTTGATTTATTTTGGCATTTTTCAGGGAAATCATAACTTTTCATGGAGACGCTCAATCGGAGCAAACTTTGCACTGTTAGAAAGAGCTGGTGAAAGGACCTACAATACCGACTGCTCCGATTTTTGTTGCAAGTTTCTGATTTTTTATGACCCTACACAGAAAATTAAAATTTTTACCATTTTTCTTCTATCGCTCCTATCTATGCAACAGATGACCATTACTAAGCAGCTGAGAAGTCATTATAAAGAGCATGACTTACCCTTTCACATAAAAGTGAAAGCAGTCAAATCGGTTGGAAAAATCAGAAGTTATGAATTTTGAAATTCATGCGCAAAAACTTTCTGGACGACCCATTAAGAGCGAGGTGGAGCAAGTTAATAGTAAAAAATGTGCTGTGGATTGACATCGTTATCAGCACTAACGGGAAGTGAGCGAACGCGTCTATTTGAGCGTCCTTATCGGTTATATGTTTATGTTTTTTTTGGTAAAAATGCGCTTTTGATTGACAGTTATGCCATCATTATTAGCGCACACTCAAAAAACTATGGGAGATTGGTAAATTTCCACACCTTCACACAAAAACCTGCCCATTTCTGGAATCTGTACTCTGTAAACCTAGTGCTGAAGAAGGTCACTTTCATGAAAACGCTCTAGACTCACCTTACCTAATTTGTAGAGAAGATGGTTGGGTTCAATGAATCAAAAACTTTAAGACATTCAGAAGAATAGCATGTTATTAAATTATCCCTCAATGTTTTGGAAAGGTTGGCAGTTTGAAGAGGTAACGGCAGGCAGAATACTTTACAAAATCGCAGATGACTCGCATGTGTTCAATAGCGAGGCAGAAGGAGAATCTTGTGCTGACGAAAATGTTGTCGACATTGACACAGAGTTGACAATTGAGCGAAACTCTCTGATTTCCTGCATAAGGAATCCAAGCAGATTGTCTAGTTTCAATGAGGAAATGTCCAGGAAGTCCATTGCTGATCTTCAAATTGCTGAAGAATTCAAGGCTGCTAAATTCACAAACATGGATATGAACAAAAGGAAGGTGTTAGTACAAAGCATAGTTACTGCACTTAGATCCCGGCTGGAGTGCGAACCCAACTCTGTGCTTTATGCTTTTGGAAGTTATTCGCCTTGTGACATTATGACCTATGATATTGAAAAAAAAAACCAACGCGCAGCATAGTATCTACTTTTTTTTCGGCTATTCCGCAGATGCTGTTGAAGAAAAAGTTGAGCAGCTTTCTCGTCAGTTAACATGAAGTATGCCAGAGGAGGTGAAGCCAGAGTTCGAAAAGGCCCAAAAAAGTATGCACTATTTCCTTCTCGTGTTGCAAAAGCATATGCGATCTGGCTCTTTTCCCATTACTTACCGCAAAAATCTGATGGACTTACTAGCAAAGCTAGTTTCCATTTCGACTAGCACGGCAGAGGTGAAGAAAGAAATTTTCTATCTACTCTGTTATCAGAACACAACGCAGAAGTCGTACAACGATAGAGCATCTAAGCAAACACTTAAGATTTGTCAACCTTCTACTAAACACATTGTTATCTAAAAACTTCATTTAAAGGATTGGTATAAGTGGTCCAGAGAGGCTGTTACCGTATGACTTTTTGAAATATCCTAAAAGATGGTATGAAGAAACTGGTCACCTACCTGCTGACTTCCTGATGCTAGCAGAGGGCCAGGAAAAAAATCACAAAAGTGCTTAGAAGAAGAAGAAAGTTTCAAATCCATTTTTGACTTAGAACGCCTTGCACGCAATTTTACTTCCACTCCGATGACCTTTTGGAGGAAGAAGAAGACTTTTCAAGCACCGAATTTGTTGTCTCTGACGTTAGCGATAGTGATATTGTTGATGATGATGCGCAGGAAATGAAGTTGTTCCTAACTTGTACATCTTTTGAATTAAACTTATTGCTTTTTTTTGTTGATGCAGTGAAACAGGAGCACAGATCTTCATAATAAATTTTTTAAAATTTTTAAATTTCTTTTGAAAATTTTTAAATTTTTTTTTTTCAATTTGTGCCTAGATAAGGTACAAATTAGAGCTTTTCATACCACGCTTTCTTACCTTTTCTCTCTTCCTCCCCCCCCCCCCCCTAGACTCACATACCCCCTTCACCCTGGAAGGTTGGGAACAACCGAGACCCCCTTCACCTGGGGAGATCCCGGCTCCCCCTATCGCACCTATGCCCCTGAGACACAACATCGCGCAACTGCGAGCATAAAACGTTCGACCTAAAGCAAGAAAAACTATTGCAAATTGGGGAAACTTACGCCTTGGGGCGGGGTCCTCCGAGTTGTTTGAATTCCTGCCAGACGGCAGAGCACGTATGCCGCCACAGTTAAAAACCGTGCGCTCTTTGCAACCTCTGCGTCTTAGCCTGGCGGGGATCCCCAAATTTCGAAATGTGAGGACTTGGAAAATGCATGTTCTCGCCGTTTTCGCGCCTTCTGATGTGGATTTTCGGATTCAGCGTTGCGGATAACCCCAGATGATTTTTTAGTAGTCGAGTTTCTGCCCGGACACTGCCTCTGAAACGGTCCTCTGAAACGCTGATTGCTTGTCGTAGCCTTTTAGTGTCTATGGAATATGGCAAGGAAAAGTACAGAGAGAGTTCCTTCAAAGTCCCATGTGTACTGAACAGTGCCGTTTCATGACTTAACGGATTTCGCAATTCAAGCACTAGTGAGCCAATATCCAAAAGCACAAACAGCATTGAAATTAAGAAAAGCCAGAATGTTTCTGAAGGAAATTTACAATGAGATGAGCAAACGTTATCGTTTGAAGTCAGCGTCCAGGCAAATCTGGATATGTGGGGATCTCACGTGGATAGTATCTTCGGGACCTTAGCCACTGCCCAACCGACAGCTCATATAGTGCTCTAACAGCTGAGATATTGATTCGATTCGAAACTGGACCCCAGAATCGTATTCATGGAATCATATCCGTGGCGCAACCCATCAGTTTCGCGCGAGGGCCCACGCGTTGCGCCATGAATCCATGCGAAATACGATCCTGAGGTCCAGTTTCAGGAAGAATATCTCAGCCGTTAGAGCACTACATGAGCTGCCGGTCGGGCAGTGGCTTAGTTAGGGCCTCAAAATTACGACCCACATAAGAGCCCATGTGTCCAGATTTGCATGGACGCTACCTTTAAGAAAACTCCAGCAGGGAACAGCTAGATACAAATTTTTATTCTCACTTGGCTTTTGACTTTTTGCTTAATGGAAGGCTGGCATCTTACGTGAACATTGACAGCAAACTCACCGGCCTTCACGATGCGGCAAGAAGCCAACAGCGGTATCCCACTAGTAATAATGGTAAGCGGTAATGTATGGTAGAACCCTAAGGGCTCATCGAAATCCATTCAACTAAACATCCATCTTTGGGATTTGGTCTTGTTACTAGTTTCAAGGAACTGTGCTAACAGTTTTCTATAAAATTATTACACAATTATTACGCGATTTACACACTAATTTGGGCCGATTGCTTAATGGTCATGCCATACACCACTGAACCTTCCTTTAAAGGCACCGTCCACCCAAAATCTCGAATTCAATGTTTTTGTCGCCTTCAGGCCTTCTGAAAGCCCTGATTTCGAATATGGAGTCGAAAATCCGCAAAACCCCCAAAAATTCCTGTTTCGAGAACCCTCTGCAACAAGCGCAGGCGAGATAAAGCATGCAAGTGGGCGGGGCGACCGGGGTCGCCCCGCCTACTTTGCTACTTCCGGAGCGGATTTCTCGCTCCAGAAGCAGTCTTTTGCGGCGAAGCTTGGAAGTTTGTCTAGTATGGGGGCCCACACTAGTATGCCATCATAATCTCGCCAACCTCCATTTTGGGTGGACGGTGCCTTTAAAGGCAGTGGCTTGGCAGAATCGAACATCTCGAAATTTTATAAGGAATGTTGCTTGCGTCTCAAACACGACAATGGAGCAGGTCGAGCGCACAGCATGCAACCCCGGCCTAAAAGATTGCCCCTAAACCCGTGCGCGCAAGCCATTCTTACACGCACTCGGACGAGCTCGCGATATCCCTCACGCCCTCAGAGGCGGTACGTCGCAATGCTCTAAACAGGAGGGTTTTACAACGACTCTGCGCCTCTAACCATGGTGAGGAGCGTTCCACTCGTCGAAATTCAAAATGAGGACGAGTAAAATGCTGGTTTTCGCCATTTCCGCACTCTAAAAAGTGGATTTTCGGAATCAGGGCATCGAATTACCCCAGGTGAGCGAAAAACCAAAAGTTGAGGATTCCGAGCCACTGCCTCTAATCACGCAGGTGCATCCTCTTGCACACTTCCCTAAGGCATTCGTAAAATGTTTCACACTTTGATGTCTGTAAACATTTTAAATGCATCAGTAAGGCTCATTCTAATCACCATATGGATAGATCAGTCGAATCGAATAAATTCACAACGTAATTATCCTTGCGCGAAGTTTTTTCTGCTGTTTATGCAATACCTTCGTCCTTGAGGAAGATGATGGAAGTTAAGATGCTATCGTGACTTAGCGATAATTTAGAAATACGCGAACGTCTACAGTACTTGCCAATCACGTCCCCCCTTTTCCGTAAGCTCACAGAGTTTCGCGCCGCTTTCGCGCGCGTATGGCTCGGGCGTTCAAGTTGGTCCCAGCGATTTGAGGTACGCACGCAAAGTTTTCGCGTTGCGCAAGCGTAGTTCTCATGCCAAAGCGAGTAAATAATCATGACTTATAATAACGGGCTAAGGGTGTTTATGTGACTTTGTCTGTGTGTGTGTCTGTTACGAAATTCGTGAAGCGTGTTCCAGCTAATGTCTTGAGCCCAAATTTTGCATGGCGCATGCTACCTTCATGAAAGTCCAACATGCAAAAGCATGAGTAGATTCGTTGAGTGGATCCCTCAGAAATTGCGCGCCAAACGGGTCCACCTGACTTCTGTACCGCAAAATTCGGTCCGTATCACCACTTTTTGCAGAGTCGTGGATGAGTTTGGTAAGCAAATGTGCAAGCGATGAAGTTTAGCCAGAAAAGTGGTCGAAAGTTTACTACATAACGAAAACGGCGTCAAAACGAATTGGTTGTGTAAATGGTCAATTTGCCAAGGTTCTAGCTAAGCGTTTGAGAAGACTTTCGCACAGAGATATAGCTCACGGTTATCATTACCTTTATGGCGACTACCAAGTCACGACAAATCCAAAAATCTATTCAAATTTGCGTTTATCTTCCTGCGAAAAGTTTCATCCACGCGAAATCACCGATCTCACGTGAAAAAACTTTCTAAATGAGTGGTTGTTTACAATTTATTCATGGTAGTCGGCATAGCGCGGTGAGTTCCAGTGCCACGATTTTACGAGAATGAGTAAGGCACATAGATAGTAGAGTCAGTGCGAACCTCTGCGAAGCAGAGGTGACGCACTGGTTGATATTAACTGCAGAGTCGTTTTGTTGCAAGTGAAGGTTTAAAGCTGTGGTATTCGTGAACGTTCCAGACTATGCTTCTATCTCCTCTTTTTTAGATCCATCGCGCTTTTTTGTTCGTTTATCTTTCATTAAAGCACTAAACTTGCAAACCTTTTTTCGTGCTAGCGGGTGCGTTGGAGATATACTGACTTCTTCGTCGTCAAAGATCGTAAACTGTCCCTTCCTCACTTTCTTAACATCTTGCATTGAAAATTGGGCAGACTCTTGCTTAAAGCTCACTTTTGCAAGGTCTGGTGCCAACACGAACGGGTCCCGTGATGTTGCCTTTTCATCGAAGCAGTCCAACCTCGGACCAAACTGAACATCACTGAGCATTGTCGAATATACTTACTAAATGAGGAATACTTCACTTGGATGCGTAATCTTATTTGGACTGGCTGCCACTGACATTGAGTACATAATTCATTTTTACATATGTTAGTGGGGGCTGGTGAGGAAATTGACATAGGATGCCTGCCTAACAAACAGAACTGCTTTGAAAGTCAACATTATGGAGTTTTCTCTTCCGATTGTAAGTGGCATTCGATTTGAATGCACTTCAATGGCAATTGTGTCGACATTAGCATTATTTGAGGCGTGCAAGACGCTACGCAGAAAGATTCCTTGTTTCCAGTCACAAACTCACCTTCTACCGTTTGCATCAAATTGATGGTCTTTTTGAAAGCATGGTACTTAGCATATCTGGGATACGGTTCAGAGTTAGTGAAATTACTGGCTTAGACCGAAATTCGAGAGGTCGATTATCACATTCTTGAAGCGGTGTCCTGCAGCAGATGCGCGGCTCAATCCTATTGACACACTGACGACCATGCGGATTTTTAGTTGTATGCCATTTGGGACCAAGGGCTCTCACGAACCAGACAACTTTTTGAATTAAATCGCTCATACTGCCACTTGTGGTATACCTATAGTAGCCCCGAAAGGCTGGCAAGAAAGATGGAGATTGCTTCTACATACAGCACAAAGGAATGCCCCTGGATAAATTTGTCTGACAGATTGAAGATACAGCTTTGTTTTTAGTCATGTTGATTGGAGCAACAGTAGTAAACATGCTAAATATCGTTTTCTCAATTTCTAAAAATTTTTTGGATTTTTCGAATTTTTAAGCACCTTTATAATATTCACTTCAAAATAAGCATATATGGCATTATTTGTTATTTTCAAAAATGTCTACTCAATCGCATGTTGACTTTCATATGAACTAAACAGGAAAGGATATGTTGGTAGTAGAGCTTGCTCGTACTTTTGTTTTCACCAATGAATACTGTACATAGAAATTCTTTACGCAAGAGCGACACATATAAAATCACAGAGCAGAGGACATCCTCACTTTAACTCACCGTCTTCTACGTATGGGTCCATTCTTTTGCAGGAAGCTGTTTGATGCGATAGTTTCATAGAGACAACCAATATGCTTCAATTAAAGTCGAGCCACACACTTTTTATTGGCATTGTTTATGGATTTTTGAAAAAAGAATTAGTTTACTTTACCCATAATCTCCCCATACCAACTTCTGATAATCCAAAACTCGTCTTTGCGCATTTTTTGGTTCTCTTCAAACAATGTGATAAAGGCTATATTTAAATCAGGTTTTTCAGATGAAAAAAGGGCAGTAACTCAACATTGCAAAATCTTAATGCTCAGACTCGACTAGAGTACTCTGTTATCAGAAACCTTTGCATGTTATCTTCGTATGCTATAAAATGCTACCTCAAATCAAACGCATGGTATTGGTTACAAATCCAGAAATTACGTATCTAGTTTACAATCTTCAGATTCGATCAAAACGATTATTACGAAAATCCAGTATCAAAAAATTTTTTTTTCTCCTTCTCATTTAACTCGTAAAAATCTGCACATCCAGTATTGATTTTAGAATGGCCAAATAAGGAGAAATTTTTCAATTTGGTGATGAGGAGAAGCAAAATTGGCATTACTCGATACATGTCCCAAGACAAGTCAAAGTAAACTATATACATTCTAAAAAGACGGTTTTTTTGTGGATTGGCGATTTCACCATCTCCGTTGTCCTAATGCTCATCCACATTTCAAGAATTTCAAGGTCTTTCCAAAAACAGTAAATCTAAATCGTTGGCTTTCCTCTTCACCAGATGCTTTTAATAATGGAGCCCAGAATTCTATGAAAGCAGGTAACTAGACGACTCCGATCTTTCCTCATTGCAATCGCTGCATCTACGGATTATTTCCTCAACTCAAATTTTCCACTGTAATTTCTGGACACATGATACGTCAGTCATATGCAAGATTATCGCCATCATCAACGTAATATATTAGTCCACTCAATTTGCGATAATAAAGCTCTGTTCGTACTACATTATTGCTAAGCTCTATGGACATAGCATAGTATAGCCGTATAGTATCATAGTATAATATATTATGATAGTATAGTACAGCACTATAGTATAGCATAGCATAACAAAGCTCTATTCATTCTATATTTGTAATATATGATTTTAATCAAGTAATACCACTATTACAAAATTATTGAAATGATGAACACGTTGGAATATAGAACCTAGTTTTATCAGGTAAAGCTATTTTCTGAGGTGTCCAGAATTACGAAATTACCATGTTCAACAGGACCTTTCTTGAAAATAGTAATGCAGTCCGTATTTAAGAGTTTGCAGATTCCACCGTAAATATGCTCTTGCATAAGTTGCTGCTGCTGCTGCTTCTGATGTTTGTGTACGGTGTGAACGGTGCTCCAGCTGGAAAGATGAGCCCACTTTGTGAGGTAAAATAGCATACAGTGCTCTTTTTAATGTGGCCCAACTGTTACTACATTGTGTTTTGCAGTATACAATAGGAGAAAAACGAGTAGCGGGACCTCTCGGGAACGTGTTATGCAGGTTTAAAGAAATGATGTTCGAATGAACCAAGTAATATCCTGCCACCTGGCGACCTTCACTGAAAATAAAGTTGTTTTATCGAGTGCTATTATAGACGGCTGTAACTGTGCAGCAAGTCGTGAGCTTTTGATTTACAATTGGCCTCATTTCAAAAAAACTATCTAGCTTTCACGTTATATTTGGAATTAAAACAAGCTTCAAAAGCAGCTTTTAATAGGAATGAGCGCGGTAAACCATCATAACTGAATTTCACTTGATGAAGTTACGTACAATGCTTTATGTCTGGAATATCTTTGAATAAGATCTCACCTAAGATTGGTATACTATTGGTCTTGTTTACTGTGTTTTCGTTTTGATATGTAAGGTGCACCACATTCATGGTCGTGAATGTGCAGCGCAGGGATTACGACAATCAACAAGGTCGATAGCAACGTAGAAGCTCTATTTTTTGAAAAACGCAATCCCTTTGTAAGGCCCCGGACAGACTTCACGCGATTTGATCGTCGCGACTCAATCGCCGACATTTCCATTCATTTTCATTTCACATTCAAAAATTTCGGGCTGGAAAAGTATCACAACCGAAATGCAAGTTGATCGGCATGGAATGATGTTGTAACAGTTGTCTCGTCGCGATTCAGTCCGACGATCAAATCGCGTGAAGTCTGTCCGGGGTCTAATGTTGCAACCAGAAATCTTATATATAAAGCTGAATGTCTGTCTGTATGTCTGTATGTATGTCTGTACGTATGTGCGGAATAGAAATTTTTATTTCTGAACCGATCGGGACCAAACTTGGCACACATATACTTCGGGGCAGGGAGCGTGTCATAGGCTACTTTTCGTTATCGATCGATATCGATTTTATCGATTTTTATCGATTTTTTTGCTGAGTTCACCTACGGGGCCGGGAGTTGGCACAGGGGGGTAATCGAGCATGGGGATTCCGAATACAATATTGGTTTTCAGGATTATCGATTACTTTTATCGATTTTATCGATTTTTTTGCAAAGTTTGAGCTACGGGGCTGGGAGTTGGTACAGGGGGGTAATCGAGCATGGGGATTCCGAATACAATATTGGTTTTCAGGATTATCGATTACTTTTATCGATTTTATCGATTTTTTTGCAAAGTTTGAGCTACGGGGCTGGGAGTTCGCACAGAGGGGTAATCGAGCATGGGGATTCCGAATACAATATTGGTTTTCAGGATTATCGATTACTTTTATCGATTTTATCGATTTTTTTGCAAAGTTTGAGCTACGGGGCTGGGAGTTCGCACAGGGGGGTAATCGAGCATGGGGATTCCGAATACAATATTGGTTTTCGGGATTATCGATTACTTTTATCGATTTTATCGATTTTTTGAAAATTTGAGCTAGGGGGCTGGAATTTGGCACAGGGGTGTAATCGAGCATGCTGATCACCCCCCTTGGGGGTGATCAGCATGCTCGATTACCCCCCCTGTGCCAAATTCCAGCCCCCTAGCTCAAATTTTCAAAAAATCGATAAAATCGATAAAAGTAATGGACGATCCTGAAAACTAATATTGTATTCGTAATCTGCATGCTCGATTACCCCCCTGTGCAAACTCCCAGCCCCGCAGGTCAAACTTTACAAAAAAAATCGATAAAATCGATAAAAGTAATGGACGATCCTGAAAACTAATATTGTGTTCGTAATCAGCATGCTCGATTCCCCCTGTGCAAAATCCCAGCCTCGCATGTCAAAATTTACAAAAAATCGATAAAATCAATAAAAGTAATCGATAATTCTGAAAACTAATATTGTATTCGGAATCCCCATGCTCACTTCCCCCCCTGTGCCAACTCCTAGCCCTGTAGGTGAACTCTGCAAAAAAATCGATAAAAATCGGTAAAATCGACATCGATCGATAACGAAAAGTGGGCTATGACACGCTCCCTGCCCCGAAGTGTATGTGTGCAAAGTTTGGCCCCGTGCGAAGCCGGGTACGCCAGCTAGTTATAAATAATGCAGTCCTAGTCCAAGACTTTGTGAGTGTAATTTCTGTCAATGCCAACTTGCGACCTATCTTCAAAAAAGTGTCTTCAATTCGAGAATTCAAACAGGGTGCTCTTGTTAGTAAACAGGAGATTACATAGTGAAATATAGACCGCATGTTGTGCTTAAATTAGTATTCGCTATAGTGCACGTATTATGTGCGCTGCAGATGATGGTTGTACTCGCGAAAAATGTGGCTCTGGTAATTCAGCTTGAAGCTGTATACGTTTATTATGTTAGGTTACAGTCGAGATCTCCTAGCCTTGCGCTGTTTGGAATCTCCTTTATAAGTGCAACTAAAGTAGTAGCTTTTCATTATGCACGCGCTCCGGAGATGGAAGCATTAGAAAAAATAGAATATGGTTTCCTATGTGTGGCCGCAAGGATTGGAAGTGACAGTAAATATCAAAGCGGTTGTGTTAAAACTTCGA